GTGTGTGTGTGTGTGTGTGTATCTCTGGTAGTGTAGTGGTTACGGTTGGGCTGCTAACCTCAAGGTCAGCAGTTTGAAACTACCAGTTGTTCCACGGGAAAGATGAAGATTTCTGCGCCAATAAGGATTTACAGCCTCAGAAAACCTATGCAGGGTCTCTGTGAGTCGGAACCGACTCCATGGCATAACACCACCACCAGTTGTTGGGTGTTGTTGAGTCAGTTCTTACTCATAGTGACCCTTTATTGGATTTCTGAGTCTGTACATCTTTATGGGACAGAAAGTTTCATGTTTCTACCTCAGAGAGGCTGGGGGGTTTGAACTGCTGACCTTATGTTTAGCAGTACAGTGTTTATAGTGTAGCGCCTCTAATGCTTATATATACACATGCACACACCAGGAAACTTTTAAAAATCCATAGAAAATTGGAGTTAAAGGATAATGTAATTTTCCCCCAAACATTCTGAAGTCCCCTCATACACACATACAATGATTTTCTGTGGAAATCAGTATTTTTTCCAATTTTTACAATACACATATTAACATTCAACTTATCCTCCCCCCCAAAAAAATTACAATTTATAAAATGATTTTTTTGTGTGTGGGAAGAAGAGATCATGTTCTTTTGTTTGTTTTTGTATTAGTTAAAACCTTTTTTTTTTTTTTTTTAAGTTATTTTCAGTGAATTTGTTTGCCAATATAAAACTGTTGTATATTTTAAGGCCTATACCAAATAGGAAGTCCTGGCCAGTCAATTTCTAAAATGTTATACTAGCAGTCCAATTTATGTAACAGATAAAAGTACAACTGCTGTAGTTGAAGGTTAGTATAACAGATAAGGAGTCCTGGTGTTACATTGCTGGTTAATGCACTGGACTGCAAGGTCAGTTTGAACCACAAAGCCTTTAATTCAAGTTCACCAGCCACTCCTCAGAAACCCTATACAGGATCGCTGTGAGTTGATACCCACTTAACAACAACAACATAACAGATAAAGATATATAACTTTTCTGGCTGGGGTGGTGGAGAGTAAACACACCCTCCCAGGGACCTCTCATAAATCTATAGTGCAACATGGAGAAGAAATGGAAAATTCATCTACAATATGCTTTTTAATTTAAAGCAACAATAAAACCAATCAGTTATTGCTGAGCTATTTATCATGGAGTTTGAGGTGTCTAATTTATAAGGTTTCTGAATTAGACTTCAGGGCCCATGTTACATTTTATTACAATCTACAACATAAGCGTAGACTGGCAAGAATTAAACTAAAAGCCTATTTCACAGCTGTTCTGCATCTGGGAGTTTGGTTAAAAGGGTCTTGCTTAGCGTAGCCTGAGTTGTGATAAAAAACAGGGTCTAAAGGCGTTTTAACTAAAAGTCCAGCGCTCTGACCAGAGCTGTATTTAATACTGGCCTATAAGTCCACATTACAATGATCATTTGTAAGAGTCTTTAGGACATCAGTGACTTTTATATCTTACTATGTGAAAAATGATTATTTCACTTGTGGACTTTAAAAGTAGCCAGCAAACTGGACTAAAGATAATGATCAAACCAAATATTTCTGCAGTTTTCTGGCTCAATTTTGCACTTAAAATGTTGCAACTATTCATTGTAATATAGTACTTTTCATGTGCTATAATGAGGAATTTTAATTCTGATAAATGAATGCTATGTGTCAGATTTGTTATACCACTGGGGAAAATGGGTTACTCTTTTAATGTAAACTTAGTACATTCTGACTTTCTCCCAGTCTTGCAGATGGGTCAGGGGCTGTGGAGAGTGGCCAGAAACCAGCAGCTACAACAGGAAGGCTATAGCGAGCAAGGCTACCTCACCAGAGAACAAAGCAGGAGAATGGCTGCGAGCAACATTTCTAATGCCAATCATCGTAAACAAGTCCAAGGTGGCATTGATATATATCATCTTTTGAAGACAAGGAAGTCTAAAGAACAAGAAGGATTCATCAATTTGGAAATGTTGCCTCCTGAGCTAAGCTTTACCATCTTGTCATACCTGAATGCAACTGATCTCTGTTTGGCTTCATGTGTTTGGCAGGACCTCGCCAATGATGAACTTCTCTGGCAAGGGTAAGTTAAACCCACTGATAATTGATTTAAATATCTTTAATTGTGTTTAAATTTTATTTTTATGAAATGACTCTATGAAATACTTATTATTAACTGTGCTTGTACATTGAGATGTTCTTTTAACATCTAGAAATAAAATGATGCAATTGTCATCACAGACAAATATAACACAGGGAAAAGAATAGTACAAAAGAAAATAGTCTTTTTTCTGAGTATTTTGATCACTTTATAATTAAAAGTTGTTGTTGTTGTTAAGTGTCATCGTGTGGGTTCCTACTCATAGTGACCCTGTCAAGGACTTCTGAGAAGTGGTTGATTAGTTTGAAGCACACACTTGCGGTTCATATTGACTTTTTGATCCAGTGCTTAGCCAACAGTGCCACACCAGGATACCATAGTTAAGAGAGAGGTTGCTAATCAAGATGTGTGAGTTTAGTATGAATTAGAAATTGTCAATTGGATTTTTTTTCCTTAATGGTAAATTGATTATACTTTAAATTAAATTAAAAACTGGCTTTTGTTTTATTTTAAATCTGGTTATGTTGAATACTTCTGATATTCAATATTGGGAGCTTCTAAGGTTTTCACATAACTTAGCAATAAAGTATAAAATTATAGGACTAGATTAAAGATACTGCTAAAATAGTAATCATTTTCTAAACAAGTTATTATACTTAGTTTTAGAATTATTGATAAAAATGCGAAGGTCTAAATAAGATATCCTCATATTAAATATTTTACACTCATAGTCTCAGAGTTTTTTATGTTACAGACTAAGACAACAACTTATTTACATATACATGTGGGTGTGAAGAAATAAAGACTTTTGTGGCAAACAGATCATTAATGAATATTAGAAAGTGAAAATATTTCAATATGTTTATATCGATGTATAGCAGATGATATTGAAGACACGTGAGGTATCAGAAGTTTTAAGGCAAAGATGCATTAAAAGTGTATCTACATTGTAATGAAGCAAAGTATATGATTTGTTGAAGATAAAATTGATGATCTACTCTGTAAATCTTCACTCAATTCACATTTAAAAAAATCCTGCATCGCTCTAGAAATTGCACATATATTTAAGCATATAAGGTACATAAGAATTTCCTTTAAGATAGAATTTTAGCTTTCACGTAATAACAACTAACTAATGTCTCTGAGGAGTCCTGGTTAATGAACTGGGCAGCAGTTCAAGTTCACCAGCTGCTCTTTGGAAACCCTATACAGGGTCGCTATGAATCGGAACAACAGCAATGCCTCTGAACAGCACTTACTTATCAATTTATTGTTCCATGGTAACTTAAGTGTTGCTGTGATGCTGGAAGTTATGCCACTGGTATTTTAAATACCAGCAAGGTCACCCAAGGTAGACAGTTTTGATCTGAACTTTCAGATTAAGACTAGGAAGAAGGAGAGGCTGACTACTTTTGAATGCTTAGCCACTGAAAGCCCTATGAATAGCCATGGAACATTGTCAAATATAGTGCCAGAAGATGAACCCTTCAGGTTAAAAGGCATTCAAAATGTACCTGGGAAAGACCTGCCTCCTAAAAGTACAGTTGGCCATGATGACGTGAATGGAATAAAGTTTTTAGAACCTTCATTTGCTGATGGGCACAACTCAAAATGAGGAGAAATGGCTGCAAACTATCATCCATTAATAATCAGGCCATGGAATGTACAAAGTATAAATCTAGGAAAATTGTTGTTAAGGACCGTTGAGTGGGTTCTGACTCATAGTGACCCTGTATAGGGTTTCCAAGTTATTATACTTAGTTTTAGTATTTAGAACCACCCGACCTTGTGGTTCAAACAGACCTTGTGATCCAGTGCTTTATCCCACAGCATGGTAACAGGAAATTAAAAGTTGTCAAAAATTAAATGGAACACAAAAAGATCAATATCTTAGGCACTAGTGAGCTGAAATGGACTGTATTGACCATTTTTAATCTGACAAACATGGTTTACTATGCTGGGAACAACAAATTCAAGAGGAATTGCATCACATTCATCATCAAAAAGAACATTTCAAGCTCTATCTTGATATATACTGGGATAGGATAATACCCATACATTTACAAGGAATACCAGTTAATACCACTATTATATTCAAATTTCCACACCAACCAATAAATTCAGTGATGATGCATACTGAAGGATTCTGCCAGTTTCTTCAGTTTGAAATCAATAAGACATGAAATAAAAGTATACTGATAATTACTGTTGATTGGGACGTGAAAGTTGGAAACAAAGAGCAAGGATCAGTAGTTAGAAAATATGGTCTTAGTGATAAATAGTCATGCTGGAGATTTCAGGGTAGAATTTTGCAAGAACAATAACTTATTCACTGTAAATATCTTTTAAAACAATAAAATGTATAACTATGCATATGGACCTGTCCAGATGGAATATTCAGAAATCAAATTGACTACATCTGTGGGAAGAGACAGTACAAAAGCTTAATATTACCAGCCAAAACAAGACCAGGGACAGACTGTGAAACAGAAACCACCAATGTGTAAGTTCAGGCAGAAGCTGAAGAAAATGAAAACAAGTCCATGAAAGCCAAAATATGACCTTGAATATAATCCACCTGAATTTAGAGACTATCTCAAGAACAGATTTGACACCAGAAGAGTTGTAGGATGGCATCAGGAACATCATACAAGAAGAAAGAAAAAAGCCATTAAAAAGACAGGAAAGAAAGAAAAGACCAAAATGGATGTCAGAGTAGATGCTGAAACTTGCTCTCCAGCGAAGAGGTACTAAAGCATATAAAAGAAATGAGGAAATAAAAGAGCTGAACTGAAATTTTCAAAAGGCAGATCTAAACGACAAAGTCAAGTATTACAATAAAACGTCAAAGACCTGGAGTTAGAAAACTTAAAGGAAATAGCATGTTCAATATTTCCCAAGCCAAAGGAATTTAAGAAAAATATTGAATGATGCCACAGGCATCCAAAGATGGAAAGAATACACAGAGTTACAGTACCAAAAAGAAATGGTCAATATTCAACCATTTGAAGAGGTAGCATATGATGAAGAACTTGTGGTACTGAAGAAAGAAGTCCAGGGTGCACTGAAGGGCATTGGTAATGAAGAAATCTCTGGGAATTGATGGACTACGAGTTGAGGTCTTTCAACAAACTAATGCAGCACTGGGTGTGGTCACTCAACTATGTCAAAAAATTTGGAAGACAGCTACCTGGCCAACTCATTGGAAGAAATCCATATTTGTGCCCATCCAAAGAGAGGTGACTCAACAGAATGCGGAAATCATCAAACAATATCGTTAGTATCACATATAATTACATGTTTACTGAAGACAATTTAAAAACCACTGCAACAACACATTGACAGGAAACTCCAGAGCTTCAAGCCATATTCAGGCAAAGATGTGGTATGAGGGATATCATTGCTAATGTTAGATGGATCTTAGCTGAAGCAGAGAATACCAAGAAGATGTTTACTTGTGGTTTATTTACTGTGCAGAGGCTTTCAACTGTGTGAATTGTGACAAGCTATGGAGAAGATTTTGAAGAGTAGAAATGGATTTCCAGAACCTTTCATTGTGCTCATGAGGAACCTGTATATAGACCAAGGCATTCAGAAAGAACCAGAGGATACTAAATAGTTTTAAATCAGGAAAAGTGTGTGACAGGGTTGTATTATTTTACCATACTTATTCAATCTGTATGCTGAGCAAAAAACCCGAGAAGCTAGGTTATATGAAGAATAATGTGACTTTGGTTTTGGAGGAAGACTCATTAACAACCTGAGATATATAGATGATACAACCTTGCTTGCTGGAAGAGAAGAGGACTTAAAATACTGATGAAAAAAAAAACAAAAACAAAACAAAAAAACTTACAGATGAAGGTCAAACACTACAGCTTTCTGTACAATTGGACCAATAAATAACATCATGACAAAAGAGAAAGTTTTGAAGTTGCCAAAGACTTCATTTTGCTTGGATCTACTATCAACACTCATGAAATCAGCAGTCAAGAATCAAATGACATATTACATTGGGCAAATCTGCTGCATAAGACTTCTTTAAAGTGTTTATGAGCAAAGATGTCAGTTTGAGGATTAAAATGCGCCTGACCAAAGACATGGTATTTTTAATAACCTCATATGCATGTGAAAATTGGACAGTGAATAAGAAGACCATAGAAGAATTGATGCATTTGAGCTATGGTGTGAAGAAAAAATGTTAAAAGTACCATAGACTACCAGTAGAACAAACAAATCTGTGATGGAAGAAGTATAGCCAGAGTGCTCCTTAGAAGCCAGAATGATAAGACTTGGTCTTCCATACTTTGTACATGTTTTCAGGATGGATCAGTCCCTGGAGAAGTACTTCATGCTTAGCAAAGTGGAAGGTTAGCGAAATAGAAGACCTCCAATGAGGTGGAATGGCACAGTTGCAACAACAGTGGACATAAATTTAGCAACTGTGAGGATTGTGCAGGACCAAGCAGTATTTCGTTCTGTTTGCATGATGGTGGTGGTGGTGTGCCGTGAGGTCAATTCTGACTCATAGCGACCTTGCATAGGATTTTTGAGGCTGTAAATCTTATGGGAGTAGAAAGCCTCATCTTTCTCCTGTGGAATAGCTGGTAGTTTCAAACTCTTAACCTTGAGGTTAGCAGCATGACTCGTAACCACTATGCTAACAAAGCATAGGGCCACTATTAATTAGTCAGAACAGACTCAACAACACCTAACATCAGTGCCTTTGATTAATTCTAGTAACAACTACCCCAATTTCCAGAAACTAGTGAATCATGTGTTATAAACTATTTTAGGTTTTACAAAAATTTTAAACTGTAGCATATCAATATGATGAGAAAGAAGCAGACTTGTGAAACAATATTTTAAAAGCTGCTCTATTTAACAACACAAGTTTTGATGTTTGCTGTTGTTAAGTGCCATGTAATCTAGTCTGGCTCATAGTGACTGTGTTTCCAAGGAGCAGCTGGTGGGCTTGAACTGTTGATCTTGTGGTTAGCAGTCCAGTGCTTATCCTGCAGCACTGCACCAGGAAATCTTTGAAAGTGATTGGGGTAAAAGATTGCTGAGTTGTGGGTGTGGAGATAGTAGAGACAGGGGAAGAAATTTCTGCTTTTTTTTTTGTTTGTTTTTTTAAGCAATACACATATTAACAAGCACATTGAGCAGATGAATTATTTAATGTTTTAATATATGTTTTGATGTATGTGTATATTGAAGGTGTGACATTGAAAAATAATTAATCTGCTAAGTGTACTTGTTTAATATGTGTATTGCTAAAAAAGAAGAAACTTCTCCCTACCACCCTGTAATCTTTTCTCCCATTCAGTTTAGAGAATATTTCACAATGCAGTACATGACTCACTCAGTAGACCCAGCTTAGCTTATTGATAAAAGTTTAGTTTATTAGCTTATGAATTGTGAACTGGAGTTAAGATTTCTTAGATTCAGATTTTACCTGTACAAATAGCTGTGTAATGTAGGCAACTTATTTAACATCTTTGTTTGTTTATTTCTCTGTAGCACCAACATCATAGGTTTATTGTAAGGATTAAGCAATTTAATGTAATTAAATTGCTGAAAATATTTCTGACATCTAGTAAACTCTCAGTAAAGGTTAGCTGTTACTGCTATTATTATCAATAGTTTGTCTTAACTTCAGACGTTGTTGTTATGTGCCCTTGAGTTGGTTCTGACGCACAGTGACCCTGTGTAGGGTTTCCAAGGAGTAACTGACTGGTGAGCTTGAACCACCAACCTTGTGGTTCAAACCGACCTTGCAGTTTGGCGCATTAACCCACAGTGCCACACCAGGACCCCTTAAACTTCACATAGTATTCATGAATATCATTAATCATTGTTACTCTCATTTATTGAGTATTATCAAATGATAAATCTTAAGTTATCTAGCTATCATACTCTAGAAAACCAATACAAAATAAGTATAAGATTAAATATTTTGAACCCAGAACTATTAGTTGTTGTTGCTAAGTGCTGTAAAGAGAGTTCCAAACTATTATTTCATTTCATGTCACTATTTTGTCATGTGTATGCATATTTAACTTAGGAAATTAAATACAGTAATGCTTTCTTGTCGGATTTGCTCTTCTTTTTATAGGTTGTGCAAATCCACTTGGGGTCACTGTTCCATATACAATAAGAACCCACCTCTTGGATTTTCTTTTAGAAAACTGTATATGCAACTGGATGAAGGCAGCCTCACCTTTAATGCCAACCCAGATGAAGTAAGTGAAATACCTGAGTACTTGTAACAGTGGAACTTTACTACACTTTTGCTGCAGTTTCCCAATATAAAAAAATTGCAAATAAACTAACAAGTCATTGAACATACCTGTTCAATCACTCAGAAGCTCAATATCTGAAATTATTGCTACATGACATAGACATTTTCACTTTACCGTGTCATGTTGCAGTCTTTCTGCTTGCATACTTTGTATGGCAGCTTCCATGACATAGATGTAGTCCTCTCTTGGACCTGATATCAGGATGTCAGGGCAGTATCAGATGGGGAGAGCAAAATTTGGATAATCAAAACATACTATGTTCATTAAGTTCTATCTGCAGTATTTTCTTCCTATTTTAATATTTCTTTATAGCGATAATGTTACTTTTATCAGTGGTAGCACAGAGGTCATGGTTCTAGTTTCTGACACAAAATTTTGTTTTTAAATAATGCCTTTAAAATGTAATTGCTTGTTGACATAGAAACTCAAGATTCCATTATAAAATTGAGTTATTTCATGTTGATGAATTAATTCTTCTTTGAACCAAGGTATGGAAATGATCAAAATATAAATATAATTCTTTCGCTGATTTTTCTCTTACTATTTTTATTTTAATATATCTGGAAAAGTTACTCTTTTCAGAAATGTTTAACTATCACCTAGACTAATTCTTGGAGATCTAAATGAGTTACATAGCACTAGCAATGGCTACTTTTTTGGTATATTATTTTACTATGGAAGAATTTAGCAGACAATTATTTTAGTTTAATTTTCAAAAACTTTTTTTCATTTTCTGTAGAGATAGTAAATATACTTCTCAAATCATACAATCAGACATTTTCTGAAAACATCATTCGCTATGTTATAATTATGGAAGTATATCACCCATGTATATAATATTTTAATTTGATTACCAAACAGAAGTAAATATGCATATCATAAAACAAATAACTTCCTCTTTTAAGAAGTGAAAAAAAAAAAGTTTTCACTTGTTATATATGATTTCTTCCTTACTGAAAATTGAAACATCTTTACAAAGTTTTACTGATACAAATGCTTATTATTAGTTGTCTTATCCCTAAAAATAGTTAACTACATATATATTATAAAGTCTGGTATACTATTTAAATTTAGATATTTTTTCCCTATCTCTTCTCTACTTTTTAAAGAGGCTTTACTTCCAGTGAATAGGAGACTAATGCTCTTAATAAAAGTAGAATTATTATAGGAATTTAAAGTTCAGATTATATACTTGAAATCAGCATTAGAATCTCATAATGTTTCCTTATAAGACAAGTTCTTTATTTGCCACAGTTTTGATTTTGTTCTTGTTCCTTTATTGCATGTAATTTTTTCTGATGCTTTTTATTCTTGTTTTTATTTTGTTCTTGGTCAAATCCCAGTTGTCTATCTTGTAAATATATAGCAACAGTAAGCATGTCACATTTCTGATCTTTTGCTGTAGTGTACTTGCTCTGTGTAAGAGATTCTGATGCACTTATGTATTTAAAGAATGGCATCTTTGTCAGGGCCTTTATTGTTTTTAGTTATTAGAATTTGATGTTAGTTGTTGCTAATTGAAATAATATATATGAAGAGCTTTTTAATAAGATTGTACTTGCCTTACTCTCATGAGGTAATTGAATGAGGATTACTGGAAAAGATCTGAGGCCAAACAGTGGAGTATTTTACTCCATATATTTTAGAATCAGGCAAGGCAACTATTATTATTAGCCTTAGTCTTATTATGCCCACTTTATCAAGGCATACTAACTCCCGTCATGAATTATACTGATGTTTAATAAAACTCCTATTTTGATAGTTTGATACTATGAAGGGTTATATTTTTAGAAAATATAATATGGTAAGTAATTATAATTATTGCAGATTTACAAAGTTAGAAAATTTAGCTATAACTGCTGATATTGATTACAGTGAGTAGTCATTCCTTACTAAAGGAATACCAGTTTTTAAAAATTATAGATTATAAAGCCATTCTTTTTATGCAAAGTTGAAAATATATATTGTGCCTCATATACTAGAGTGTGATATGGATAGTTGTAAATATCAGAATTGGAAAAGTTAAATAAAAAATATGTTTACATGTTGAAGCTATATATGTCAGACTCCAGAGTTCTTATTAGTACCTCCTATAAGGTACTCCTATAGAGTGTTTGGAGGGAGACAGAGAAAAAGAGGTCAATTTAAGTCCTTTTTCATCTGACAATTTTTTTTTTCTTTTTTATATTGAAGTCAGTGTTTGCTAAGAGAGAGGGTTGAAGTTATTATCTAGAAAAATAAGATTTTTTGATCTTCGGATTTCACTTATCCATCCTACCTCCCATTATCCTTGAGAGTTGGCTGTATTTCCTTTTTCTTTACTTGATGGATTGATTTAAAGCTATCCTGGGACATTCCAGAAGTATTTAATTCACAAATCTGAGAGGCATAGTGTTGAACCACTCAAAGTATCATATAACTCCAGAATTCTGGTTCTGTACTTCATGAACAATAGTAATTTAGTAGGTATCATCTAATACCAGAATAAAATGTTTTGTCAGGCTACAGGTAAGCTATAAATAGGCAAAGAAAGACATTGAAATTCACTTGATAGTTGCTGTGAAATAGGAGAAGCTTTGTAATTGACTAAATTCTATTTTTTCATTCATATATATAATTAATGTCAATTTGGTTAATTTTTAATCAAGATATGTCTTCAAAATTGAAACCATATAAGTAAAGTAGTTATCCTTATACTCTTATTATAAAGAATGCATCTGTATGAGTCCTGCATTAGCCATATCCATAGAGTGGATCTTGCTGCGAAGTATTGAGTAATAGAAATCATAGAGGACTTTTTAGAGATTGATTTATTTTCCATTACTGGAATACAGTCATTGAACGTATTATTTTGGGTTCATCTAAACCTGAGAAGTAAATTAGTTTAATGATATGCTTAAACATAAGTGGTGTTTATTGCAAGTGCCTGAGATAAGATGTATATAAATGTTCAGTATTGTAAAAAGTTTTTTCATAATTACCAGTTCTGTACTTAACATTTTGATAGCAAACATCATTAAAATATTATAAAAATAAGAATACTTACAGCCACAGGGAACAAGATTCTCCAAAGGACATCGTTCATGTCATGGATGTGGGTAACCAAACTCCACAGCAACTGCTGGCAGTGGCTCATGGGGTGGGGGAGAACATCTGCACAGTTTGTGGTACGATAATCTGGCACGCTGTTGTTATATGCATGACATTGTGATCTCAGTTGTATGTAACGTCTTGATCTTGTGCATGAACTTGTGTGCTTTGTGGCAGGTAACTACATTCTAATAAAGAAATATGTTGAAAAACATTAGTTTATATTAGACTGTACTTCTCCTGCATGTACAAGTTCTTTGTATCATTTTTATTCTTCTGGCAGTATTATAATAAAATAAGTGTATTTACCAGTCCATAAACAATATATACTCCATTTAGTATATAAAACATTTTATGGAAAAATTGGTAGTGATTACAGTTTAACACTAATATGAGGGGTCTTCAAACAGCCCATGGAAAAATGGAATTGATAGATAATGTTACATTGTGAAGTCCTCTCATATACTATAAGCTTATTTTTGTTTGCTGAAGCTGCATTTTTAAAAGGAGGTTTGTGTGTGTGTATGTGTGTGTGTGTTATTTTCAGTGGTGTTAGGTAGAAGAAGTCTTCTTTTTTTTCTAAGTATATAGCACATTTATCCTGTATTCATACAGAAAGACTCACATGCATATAATTTTATGCATTTTACAAAAATTATCATGAACAGACTATATACTCTATTCTGAAGAGTATTCTTTAGACCAATTATTCCACAATAACTGACAAAGGGGTTCTCAAATCTTATAAATTTGGGCAATGATTAGTTATGATTTGTTGGCTTGTTTATAGCATAACTTCTTAAATCCTTTAATATATTGAAGGAGTCCTGCTGTAGCTCTGTAGGATAAGCACTTCACTGCAAGGTTGGTTTGAACCACAAAGTCAGCAGTTCAAACTCACCAGCTGCTCCTTAGAAACCCTGTATAGGTTATCTTGCTATGAGTTGGAACCAACTCCATGGCACTTAACAACAGCAGCAATATGTTGTGAATATCTAAGAGAGGCCTGTTATATGCAGTATTTTCCAAATCTATTTGAAATGCCTTTTTTTTAATTAAAAAAAAAATATTCCAGGGAATCTACTTTGAAGACAAGCCAGTATAAATTAGCTGTAATTGTACTATGTATAAAGATGTTATCTTAAAAAATAGACACCTAGATTGAAAAGTCGTTTATTTATTAACAGTTATCTGGTGGTTGTTTTACCTATTGTCTAGTCTTCTGTTGGTTTTTTATTATGAATTTTTAAATAAAAATTTGTTTCCTTCAGTTTGATAGTATTTATTACATGAATACTGAGAGTTCAGTATTAATAGACTTGGAGAAATAGGGACAGCATTGTAATTGACTAAAAATAAATGTGAGTGGCTTCCTGTTTGAGATGACTATATGTTGGTTGCCATCTAATACACTTTGGAAAATGTCAGTTTAGAAAATAAGGGTAGGACTACTAACCTGAGAATAATAATTGAATTCAAATTAGTATAAGTATCCATGCCAAATAATTTGCTGAGCTAATAGACAATTCATTCTTATATTCATATGTCTACTTCTCTACACTAACTCTATTATATCCTCAAACACAAAGACATTCCCATTAGAGACTAGCAGACCTCTAAGGTACTTTAGTTTTGTCTTTTAAGGTTTTATCTTTAGTTCTGTAGGTATAAACATTTGGCTGTCTCTTTCTAATGAAAGTATATGTGTTTCTAATGAAAGTATATAATGTAGAAACAAACTTACGTTATAAGAGAAGTTAGGAGCCAGGCTGTGACAGTAAAACAGGCATGCTGTGAACAGTAGCTGATAGCAAAAGGAAAACAAAGGAGAAATTCAGATTCCCAAGTTC